CCCTCGGCCACGGGAACGCTGCCAGGCTTTGCCCCCAGGCTTACTCTGCAGAGCAGAGTCCCAGCCTTGTGTGGGTGGTGGGGTAGAGGGGTGCGTACGGACAAGGCCGTGTGACCCTCCATCCCCAGCCGCTGAGCAGAGCGGAACTCTCCTCTCTCTGCTCAGGAGACCCAGGCCCTCAGCCTTCTTGGGGGGAGGGTTCCCCTTGCCATCTCTGAATCCTGGGTTTGTTCAATTTTCAGTGCCCACGGCCTCGTTGCCAGGAGAGCAGGAGACACAGGGCCCTGCCCCACTCGCTCAGGTAGGGCTGCTGCTCCCAGGGCCCCGGGAGACATGGGGTTGGGGTGACTCTACCTGAGCTGCCACGGCAGGAGGAGGGATGTGCCCCGCTTGGCATCTGTGGGAGCCCGAGTTTATGGAGGCCAAGGGTTTGGAGAGCCCCGGAGTGGCACCAGTTGTATGGATGAGGCCAAAGCGCCTTTGTAAACGCCTTGTAGACCACGTGCAGTTAGGACGACCGCGCGTTGCCTGCGCAGCATTTGCATAGCTCCCCAGGAGAATAGCTCTTGTATTAATTAGACAGCGGGCGCTCCGGTTGATGAAGGACTTTTTCTTCAGCGGGTTTTCCCCAGCACGAGTGAGAGGAAGCTGGAGGGTCCCAGGGCCCAGCTCTCCATGGAGATATCAGGCTGTGAGGCAGCCCTGCACAGTTCCCAGGACCATGTGGCAGAGCTGGAGAGGCAGGTGAGCCCCATTGCCTGCTGGGTGAGGGACCACGGGTGACCTAGGGGGAGGAGAAGGGACCCTGCCCTCTCCCAAGAGCGTCAGGGGGACAGAGGAGAGAGGAGACCCCTCCCTCTCCAGAGGTGGCTATGGGCACCCTGGGTGTGACCTTCTCCCTGGGTGTCTGGCAGGTCCGGACACTGGAGCAGGAGAGGACACAGCACAAGGGGCTGCTGGAGAGTCTCAGGCAGCGGCATCAGGAGGACTTGGATCACCTCGAGTGCAGCTTCAGGTAGCAGGCTCTGGCCTGTGCTCCCCTGCCTCTCTCAGGTCCTTTCCTCCAGGCCTGTCCATCTGCCCTGAGGTGGGAGTATTGGGGCACTTCCCGAATCCATCCCTGGAGCGGGCGGGCCCAGAGCCACGTCGCTGTGGACCTGGCGGGGACTGAGAGCAGCCCCAGGGGTGAGCCAAGGTGGGTTCCTCTGTCCCGTGGGTGAGCAGGAGGAGGGGCCAGTCCCGTTGCCAGCCCGCCCCCCAGCAGGGCACCAGGCTGGGCAGCAGCAGGAGGGCTCAGGGCTCAGGCTGGGCAGAGTCTGTGTGTTCCCGAACGCACGTGGCGCCGCCGCCCTGCTCCTAAATCCCGGCGTGCGCTCTGGGTGGAGGGTGCCAGGGGCTGCCACGAAAGCAACGCTTCTTCCTTGCCGGGACCTCTGCGGGCAGGAGCCAGATGAAGGTGCAGGAGGAGACGTCCAGGCAGCGGGAGGAGAGGCTGCGCTGGGAGAAGGAGCAGCTGGAGGCTCAGCTCCTGTCGCAGAGGCAGGACGCGGTGAAGGAGCGGGCAGAGCACCAGGAGCACCTGGCTGCTCTGAGGCAGCAGCACATGCTGGAGCTGGAGCGGGTGCAGGAGCTGCCGGGGGCAGACGGGGACAGGTGACAGCAG